GATGCGCCAGGGCGATGGGGAGGATCCGGAGGTCCTAGGCGGAGCAGATGGCGCCGGCAACCGACGCGGCGATGTGGATCCGGGAGGCCGCAGTGGAGCCGGAGTGACAGGACCAAGGCGGAGCCGGAGGGACGAGGGAGCCTGGCGGAGCTTGTGGGTGTGTGTGTGTGTGTGTGTGTGTGTGAGCAATATCACACGAGTAGCAGTGCGATATGGCTGTCTTTAAAAACCCTCTTTTGTGCAGAGCTACTTCCTTCCACCACTGATTCAAATCTCAAGTTGACAGTTATACTTGTTGACAGCTGAGCTCAATCCTCCATTACTAATTCTAAAACATCACTTTAGAACTACACTGTAAAAAAATTCCGTAAAATTTATGGTAAAAAAACGGCAGCTGTGGTTGCCGGAAATTTACCGTAAAAAATACGGTAGCAACATTTTAGGTTTTACGGTTATACCTTAAATTTACAGTTAAGTACCGTAATTTCATTAACTGATATAATGTTAATATACCAACCTATTGAAGTACTGAAATCTGTTTTGTAATACACTGATAACCACCAAATGCAGGTGGTGATGAGAAAGTCACATGATGAACCAAAGCCCATCAGTCTTTTACCATTAAATTCACGGTCATTTTTTACAGTGTAGTAACAAAGGAACATTGAGTTGCTTCATTGAAAGCTTAAAGTATTACTGTATTAAAAGCTCACTGTATTATCTAGAGTAGAGTATTATGAGAGATGGACTGAGCAAGTGTGATTACCTGCGTGTGATACAGCATTCATTCTTCAGCTCAATCTCATATTCACAATAAAACATTAGTTGTGGAGTCAAGGGAGACTCCAGCTACGGCGACGCTGGAGGATGGCAGTCCCGCGGGGCTCGCACCGCAATGATGGTGGGCTGAGGGCGAGCAGAGGAGCTGCCAGACGACAGCGGTGGAGGAGGCAGGAGTAGGTGGGAGGGTGGGCATTTGTGAGTCTCCAGGCATTCAGGGCTTAACTCTGGATCGGAAGCCCCCTCTGGTAAAAATACTATCTTGTTTACAACCCTGTTTCAGCCTCTTTCAATATAAAAGTCTTTACTGCTGACTCGCTCATAAAACAGTCTCTTGTTGCCATCTAATGTTGGAATAATGTAACTAAAATCACTGTCACAAACACATACACACTGTTTCCCAAAACTAAATACTATTATTAAATAATTACTACGGTTATATAAAATATTAGTTAGTATATAATAATAATTAATAAACATCAACAGCCATCATAAAAGTCAAAAGTACAAAAGGCAGCGCTAGACGATAGCGGTGGAGCGGGTGGGAGGGCGGTCATTTTCGAGGAGCGGCCACAGGAGGGTGCTTTCTAGGAGCGGGCACTGGAGGGCGCTCTGGAAGGCGCTTTCTAGGAGCGGGCACTGGAGAATCGGAAGCCCCCTCAGGGCTGGACGAGGGAATCAAGGATGAAGGAGGGCTGGACGGGACCAGCAGAGACGACGGAGAGAGGAGAGGGGGCAGTTCGATCTCCATATCAGACTCCCAGTCTATGAGATCCCCCTCCTCGTTTTGGCCCTTTTGCCGTGCCATACTCAGCTCACCCTCAGCCACGGTGCCATGCTCACACCGTCCGTGGCTTTCTCCCTCGTGGCAGGCGTTGTTGCCGGCTCACACACCTTGACTGACGTCACGGCCTCTGGCTCCGCGGCGATCCTCAGCTCTGTCGCTCTCTCTGGCGATGGCTCGTCGGTCGCGGCGGGCTCTGGCTCTCTGTCAGCAGTGGGCTCAGGCATGCGCTCCACACATCTGGGAGATGGTGGGCTAGGCTCTGGATCGGGAGTGGCACTGGCGATTAATTCCTGGGAACCGGCGGGGAACGGAGATCCATTTCTCGCCAGTGTCCACTCCACAAAGGCAGCGAATTCAGCTAGAGGGCCATCTTCGGACGACGGCACTCTGCGCGCGGTGTTGAGGCTGGCGTCATAGAGCGCGCAGAGCGCGTCGTCCGGATAGGTGGTGAGATGGGCCACAGCCAGAAACAGTCTGGTATGACCCTCAAGCGAATTTTCCCCCTGCTCCAGCAGGAGGAGGATGAATTCGGGGCAAAGGAAGGGATACATAGGGCACACAACGGAGACAAAAAACAGAGTAAAAAGAGAAACAAAATGGAGTGTACAAACGGAAGTAACTGTTTGGGTCGGGTCTTCTGTCACAATTCACTCGGAGAGCAAGGAACGAGAAAACGAGGAGTTCTTGAATAACACAGTCTTTAATAATCCACAGGAAAACTGAGAACAAGGAGGACATTCAGCCCAGACTAGGGCTTTTAAAGGCAGGATAATTGGGGAGGAACGAGACACACCTGGAATCAAATTAACACAATCAACATGAGGAAGAAACTGGGTCACAGGGGCAAACACACACACAGACTAGTCCATAATCCTGACACACACACACACGCTACTTTATTATTGTCATTATACTATTGCACATTATTTCTAAAGCAAAACATCCAACCAACTGCCATTTTTTACACAAAACAGCACAAGCACACTGTTAAAGCAAACTTAAATTTTGAATCAATAGGAGTATTATGTGTTTATTAATGTTTGTCTGTCAGTATATCTCTTTTCCTGTTGTTCTGACAGTATTTCTAAACAGTATCAGTCTCTGCAGGCAGGTAATGAATCGAGGAGGTGTATGGTCATCATCAATGTCATTCCCACACAACATCAGAGAGAACAGAAATAGCTCTTTTTGTCCCTGCAGTCTATCACACAAGGGTACGGCTCTCAGCCCTGAGGCATATCTTTGATGCATGTGACCTATGTCACACGCACATAACCAGTGTTAAAAAGTGGTTAGCTTTATATTTTGAAACGTTACGACAAGTCTGAAGAGAATCACATTGTGTCAATGATCCATTCGTATTTCATTATCTTACAAATGATGACCTAATGAGAGTCAGAACTGAGGCACATCCTGGTTTGTTTTTGTTTCCATAGATTACCTCTGTGGTCCAGAGCAGAACATACACAAGATCGACTTCACCAGGTTCAAAATCCGAGACATGGAGACAGGCACAGTTCTTTTTGAGATCACCAAACCCCCTACAACAGGTAGGCAAGGAGCCAGCAGACCTCTCAAATTCACTTCCTCACTCCACCTACACAGACTGCACATTTAAATGCAAGGCTCGTTTAGATTTTTTTTCCCATAAAGCCCTGATTTCCATTTAGATGCAGTGCACTGCACAAGAGCCCTTCAAAGGCTCGTTCGGTAATGCCAACCCCTTTCTGATTCACAGAGAGTGGGGAGGGCAGAACGGACTTTGACCAGAACGCCGGGCGCTTTGTGCGTTACCAGTTCACCCCCGCTTTCCTCCAACTACGCCAGGTTGGCGCCACGTAAGTGCAATCAGTGGCAGGATTACACTTGATCTTAATTGCAACCTAAAATTAGCCTGAAATCACACTTCACAATCTGTTTGACTTAATCTTTAAAGGGGTCATATTATGATGTATCAAGTTTTTCTTGATATTTTGAGATAAATGGGTTAATTATACTTTAAAAAACATACTGATTCACAACTTCCTTCCAAGTTAAAAAAGACCATGTTACAGCACTGTATCACATGAGCCATGTTGTCAAAGGCAGTAATGAGAAGAAAGTAGGATACCATTAGTCCTACACACAAGAATAACCAAAGATAACTAATGATAAGAGGAAAATGTAATTAAAAATTGGTTTAGTAAGGTAATTGTGAGATATAGGTTAAAATAAGAAAGTGAAGTGGCTTTATATACTATATTTTATATTATTTATAGCTGTTTTGTGAACTTGTCACAATGTAATACGAGAGGCTATAAAAGTGACTGTTATTAAAGGATGGGGAAGAAAATATATTGTATAAGCTGTATTACATTTCACATGTGACAAAAATGTTTACATAGAAGTCTTACAGGTGTGGTAGCAATAAACATTCTGTACATTGCCATTCAAAAGTTTTATTCAGCTTTATAATTATTTATACTTTTATTCGGCAAGGATGCATTAAATTAATCAAAACGGACAGACAATGCATTTATAATGTTATTAAATGTCTATTTCAAATAATGCTGTTTTTGAAATTTCTATTCATCAAAGAACCCTGAAATAAAGTATCACAATTTCCATTAAAATATTAAGCAGCACAACTGTTTTCAACATTGATAATAATAAGAAAAATCTGTATTATCAGAATGATTTCTGAATTCAGCTTTGCCATCATAGGAATAAATTACACTTTTAACCGTATTAAGCCAAAAACAAAATTCAGTTGTAATACTATTTCAAAATGTTACTGCTTTTACTGTATTTCTGATTAAATAAATTCAGACTTGCTGAGCATTAGAGACTTCTTTCTAAAACATCAAATCAACCCTATAACATGGAAGGAGCTATTTTCATTGCTACAAATCCATGTCCCCTTAAATGTGTCCTTTCCCACCTCCACAGGGTGGAGTTCACTGTAGGCGATGTTCCCATCAACAACTTCCGAATGATCGAGAGGCACTATTTCCGTGGGCAGCTGCTGAAGAGCTTTGACTTTGAGTTTGGTTTCTGCATCCCGAGCAGTAAGAACACCTGTGAACACATCTATGAGTTCCCACCACTCTCTGAAGAAATAAGTACGTTCTAAATGTTTTTATCAACTGTTTGCTGTTAATTAGTTTGTGATCTTTTGGCTGGACCTAATATGTGACACTGTGTTTCTTGTATCCCTCCATAGTGCGTGAAATGATCCTTCACCCTTATGAGACGCAATCTGACAGCTTTTACTTTGTGGACAACAAACTTGTGATGCACAATAAGGCAGATTATTCTTACAACGGTGGATCGTAGGAAGTCATTCTCACCTTTTGCATTGAGTTGCAATGGACCGGCAGAGGAAAGTGGCATCTAGGCATCTAATCTTATATGTGATGATGCATTTGGCTAAAACAAACAAAAAACACCCCAATCTCAGGATTTGTGTGTGTGTGTGTGTGTGTGTGTGTGTGTGTGTGAGTGAGAGAAAGAATGTTGCTCAGAATGGGCCAGTACTACTTTTTTCCTTAGAATCATGTAAAGTATGTGATAACTCTGTCTCTTCGAGGATATGAGTGTGCCTGTGCACATGTGCATTCATTGCATGCTCTGTTTTTTTGTGTTTTTCAAAGCCCAAAGCCAAATAATTCTAAACAACCCTGATTTTTGACTAAATGTTCATACAGCGATGTCGCTCAAGGCTTCTAAAGCATAAAAAGAGCATCATGTTGAGTGGGTTGGAGATACAGTGACCAATGCAGTGTGTAAAGGAAGGGATACTGTCAGGAACTGTGTATTTTGCGCTGACATTGCACCCACTTCCTGTTGGCCTCTACAGAAGGGCCTGGTTTTGCTTTATTTTTCTCACTTTCATTTTTGAATGCTCATAATTTGGTCGATGATGTAAATCTATGTTATTTATATTAATATGCTCTTATTTATATTGATATACATTGTCACACATATTTTTAATAGCATCTTTTGTCAAATAATAGTGATAGATATCTTTGTCAATTGTTTCATGTGATTTAACAAAAAAAGAGAAAAATAAAAATTCCAAAGTTCTTTAAATCATCATAAGTTTGATTTAATTCATTTCTTTTACACATAAAACTCCTCCATAGTGGTTTCATTCAGATAAAACAATATTTAAACTGTACACTATCATCCAAAGGTTTGGGACAGGTAAGAATATTTCATAATAAATCTCTTATGCTCTCCAAGGCTGCATTTATTTGTTCACAATTATAGTAAAAACAGTAATATTGTGAAATATTATTACAATTTTAAAAAACTGTTTTCTATTTGAATACATTTTAAAACGTAATTTTGCTGATGTAGTGCTCAAGAAACATTTATTATTATTAACACTGACAAAAGTGTGTGCTTTTTAATATTTTGTGGGCGTTTTTTTTTTTTTTGATAAATTGATAAAGATAAATTGAAAAAAAGCATTTATTTAAAATACATTTTTTGAAACAATGTAAATGTCTTTTGATCACTTGAATGTGTCCTTGCTGAATAAAAATATTGATTTCTTTAAAAAAAAAAAAAATCTGACTAACTGCAAACTTTATAGTTCTGTAGATAGTCAAAAGAATAATATATGATACAACCAAGGGCAAAAATAATAATTTACAGTAATAAACATTGCTATATGCTACATGTTCAAATCAATTACAATACAGCAAAATGCATTGATCTGTCGTATACAGTGTATTATTATAACACGAATGCCTTATATGTTGTGATCGTATATGAATCTGACTTAAGATTCAGTTATGGTAGTGCAGTAGATCAGATGAGCCCACCTCAGGTACTGTATTATAATTTTGACAAACAAAAATAACTTTAACCTATGCTTGAATAGATCTAGTAAAATCCTGCAATACGGGAGATCTGTTTTAACTTGTTATAGTGCTTTCAATGTGTGTTGCTATGGAAAGACAGTATAAAAAGAGGCAACCACATCCCCCATTGGATGCCATGGCAAATGCAAACAACAATCAATACTAACTATATGATAAGTCTAGAACACCTTATTAAAATATTACCAACTCAAACACTTTTACACTTTAAAAAAACACTTGCACAAAAGCAACTAAATATTAATATATTGTTGAATTTCAGCAAACAATATAAGACAATTTAGGCCACATTCAAGTGATTTTGAGCATTAAATGCTTACAGAAATTTTTGGAATTTCCAAAAATACCAATGGAAGGATTTTAGAGCCCACTAGGGGGACTCCACAAACGTATAACTTATACTCAAAACGACTTAAGATAAAAACATGCATTAAAATATAGATATAAGAAATAAGATATTTCTTATTTTAATTCAACGTCTCAACAACTCTTTTTTTCCCATGTCCTACTGGAAAACCTGGATATATGAGGTAGCCTAATTATAAAGGTAAGATCTAAACCTAGAAAAGTTATGTGAATTAATGAAATCTTATAACTTCATGGGCATTCATTATGTAATTTATTTTTCTAGTTATGCCAAGCTCTAGAATATTTTATCAGGTAGAAATTGTGAGTGGCATCTTTGAATATTCTTCTAGTTAATGGGGGTCTTGGAGTCAAAAAGGTTGGTACACTGTAAAAAAAAAAAAAAGGATTTTCCCAAAATGTAAATAAAATAAAGATTACTGGAATATGTTAGTTTTTCTACTAAATTGTTACCTGCTTTGTAGCTAACTAATTGTGAAATGTCCTAGCAATTTCGGAGTAAAAATTAATTCTGCAACAATTTTTTCAGTGTAGAAAAACTGGTTTAGTGGTATTGGACAGCATACTGCGTTCAAGCAATAAAAGCATTAAAACTAATGTCATTTTTATAACTCAAGCACACCATTTAGCACAGAAATCATACTTTTTAGACATTCAAAAATATAAACTTTTTTCTATTTTGGACAGCAAAGATGATGCAGGGTTTTTTTTTTTTCTCATAGCAGAGGAATAGGGGTTGTGTAGAGCCCGCTGAGATAAAGCTCAGAAACGTTGCCTTGCACCCCACCATCAGTCTCTGCTAAACCCCCACAGACCCCCACGCTATCCCGTGTTTGATTGGGACTGTCCATGACTACCAGTGAATCCGGAGCGAGGCTGTCATTCCTTAGCTCCTCCCAAAGATTCCCTTTAAACAAAGACAGAGAACAAGTCATGAACAACAAAGCAGCTCAACCGCTGCAAACATGGCTAATGTTTCAAACTCAATCTTACCATGTAGTTGTAGATCTGTGAGGCTGGGATTTAATGCATCGACATCATTACTGGTTTCTCCATCCAGCAGAAGCTCCTGCATGCTTGCTGTAGCACTGTGACCAGCCTGCAGGGCGGTGCTGTAGCTCGGTGGGGTGTGTGCTGGTAAGGGGGAATCCAAGCAGCCTGTCCTGGGACTGGAGGGGTGCCCGGCACTGGGCTGATGGGTGACAGGAGGGTAGTATGAGAAAGATAAAGGGCCTGGGGATAAGTAGGGGGGAGGTGGGATGACAGTTTGAGAAGGTAAAGGGTTGTAGAGAGACTGCTGATGCGGGATGCTAGTGTCATGGACAGGTTGGTGTCCGTAAGCAGGATGCATGGCAACTCTTAAAGGTTGAGAATGTGTATGGCTGCTTGGTAGACTGAAGTGAGCTCCAAGAGACTTCAGTTTTTCAGGTCTCTCCCCAAGAAGGCGTTCCAGCTCTTCTAAAACAATGAGCATAAATACATATTTTTAATATACATTATATAAATATATATTTTACAATATAAACGAGCAATATTGTGTAATATCTAAAACGTCTGGGGTCAGTAAGATTTTTTTATTGACATTAATATTTTTATTCAGCAAGGATGTATTAAATTGATCAAAAGTGACAGTTATAGGGGTGCTCCGATCAGGATTTTTGAGGCCGATCACCGATCGCCGATCACAGAAAGCAGTATCTGCCGATACCGATCACCGATCACCGATACCGATCTTTTTAAAGCCTTCTTTTTATCATTTATACCTATTTATATGATACTCCAATCAGGATTTTTAGACATTTATTCAGGGCCTGGATTTCATTTTTGAAAATAGGGGGAATTCCCCTCTTAGGTGACTCTTGTGAGAGAGGAAGCAGCACTGACTGTGCTTTCACACAGGAGTCCGCTACTGATCCATGGCTGTTTACTACAAACACAACATTTATCCATTATTTTGATTTCAAATCCAAACGTTGTCACTGAAAATGCTTTTTCAGCATTGCAATTCTTTTTTCACACAGTACAGTAATACAATCTTTCACAGACATGTTTAAACACAATAAATATAAGCAACACATTATGCAATGCTTTTTACTTTTGCATTTACTTAGATTTATATATTAAGTTGCTCAAGCAAGTGGCAAAACATTTAAACTACTTTTCTTACATTATCACAAACTTACCATTGACAGAAATAGTCAGCTCTACTGCCTTTTCTTTTGCATTGAAATCTTTATTACAAGCAATCCTGCGGTTCATAAAGAACTTTGTTTTCCTACCTCCACCAGTGCCATCTATTTTTCCTTGTTTATCTTAAAGTGCTCTTTACCTTTAAACCTAGCCAAACGACCATATGTGTTGACTGTGAAACACAGTAGACTTTAATAATATGCATTTATGGTGTAATTACTACATTTTCGTGTCAATCCATGTTCATGTTTACTGCAAACAATGCGCTGTTACTTTAATTCTTTGCTGAAACGATCTCTCCTGGAACGCACTGACGGACCGCAACCGTGTGCAGTGAACGCTTTAATTCGTTAACATGAGCGCGGAAAAAATATGCACCACGTATGCACTGCAAACGGAGTAATGTGAACCTGGCGTTATGTGTGTGCGCTGCGAGTGAGTGCGCTGAATGGTTAAACACTGGTAAGAAATTTAAAAGTAATGCAATTTATAAACTTTAGTGACAATTCTTGTGTAAACTGTGCAGCGTGAGTACCTCACCTTCAGTATTATAATTATTTTACCCGCACCGGACAGAGACTGAGATGGAGACGGTGCCGCTGCATGTTTATTATAACACAAATGCCTTATATGTTGTGATCGTATATGCATCTGACTTAAGATTCAGTTATGGTAGTGCAGTAGATCAGATAAGCCCTAGAAAAAACCTTCTAAAACCTAGGCTACTGATCGAAATACTATTCTGCATGGAGAAGTTTCCATCCTCCGTAGCTAATTAAGAATATCCCGTATGGACAATTTCAGAGATTGAGACGGATATGTGACTCAGATGAGGATTTTGAGGTGCAATCTACTATTTTGCAACAGCGTTTTCAACAAAGAAGATATAGTTCATAAATATTAAAAGAAGCTCATGGTAAAGTCCAGTTGCTCAAGAGGGATGAATTGTTGAACAAAAAAACATAAACTAAATGTAGGTCTTAACAACACGTTACATTTTGTCGCAAAATATTGTAAAGAAGCGACACAAATCAAACGGATTAGCCTATTCCAAAGGAATTGGAATATTTTACAAGTTGATGAGACTCCAAGAACATTTTTTTTGTTTTTACTTTTAAACGTGCTCCAACAATAAAGGACAAATTGGTGAGGAGTTTTCTTCCAGCTTCAAGACGGGAAACATGGCTAAGACGACCTAAAGGGAATTTTAGCTGTGGGAACTGTAATTATTGCATCAATATGGTCCGGACTAATACCTTTGAGGACAAAAGAAACAAGAAGAAATTTGAGATCACAGATTTTATTAATTTACAGATTGGAATGTCCATGTAAGTGTTTTTATGTGGGACTCACTAAGAGGAGGTTACGTGATAGATTGGCTAAACATAGATATGCAATACGGACTGGTAACATGAACTATCCGATGGTGAAACACTTTATACAGGCCAAGCATGGTAATGATAGTACTTTGAAGGCCATTGGAATCGAACAGGT